TCCCTGCAGCGCCTCCCGCTTCGGTCACGACCAGTGGGGTTTGGTTTTTTTTTTTTTTTTGGCCCTTTACGACTGCGACCGAAAAAAGAGACATGAAAACAACGCGGGTAATGAAAAGGGTTAAAAGGAGCATGTTAGAGGGTTAAACGCATCGTGCAAAACGTTCCTGTCCGTCTTGACCGGGAAGGGATTGAGGTGATTAAAACAAAATATCTGAGATGATGAAATAACCCGTCCTTAACAGGTGCGCTACAGACGGCCATCCTCATCTAGGTGATCCTCATCCTCAGCAAGGAAGAAAGCCCAGGCTCTCTTCATCCCTTAGAGTGTAGCTGTCCAGCGCTTTTGTTTGTTTGCATGCTTGCTTTTTTAATCAAGGAAAAGCAGCCCCCCTGCTGCAGTGACTGCCAGTATTAAAAAAATGTTAAATTGTTTTCCTTTTAAAACCACATATGAACACGAAATGATCAAATTAATGTCAGTTCTTCTGTGCATGCAAAGTCTGTATAGTTTTGCAGGAAGCGGCGTGTTTTCTCAGAAGCACACATATCACCTCAGTGATGGATTTAGGACTAACTACTTGTGCTGTAAGGTAACTAATACCACAAAATACTAAAAGCTTGCTGATATTTCAAAAGATCTGTCAAATCATTCTTTCCAGCAAGTCATTCATGCGTCCAAAGTCACAAGAAATACCGTGCTCTGAACCTTGATATGCATCGACCAGCTTTTAGCAGAAAATAATGCACCATTTTTAAGTTGCACGTGGCTGATTTTTAGTTGATTTGGCTTAATTACAGAAATACCATTGTGATAACAGTACCTTCCCAAATAAGCTTGGAGGGACAGTTCATTGGCTTACATTGATCTAGGACCACACTGCTGCCAAAAGGAGTGCTCCTGTTGCCTCTCTTTTGTCTTGCGTCAGTAATCCTGCAGCTGCTGACCTGGATGAGAGCTATTTGGCAGGCTGGTCTGACCCAGTCCACAGCGTAGTGGTTTAATCGTTAGTGCCAACACAGGGAAATACCAGGGCAGGGTAGGGGTAAGACTGGACTGTCCCTTCTGCAGGCTTAAGCCACATGGGAAACTACCCTGCGGGTCTTGGAATATCTGAAGATAATAAGTGACAGAAGCTGATCAACAGCAAAGGAGGATTAGAGAATTATATTCCTTTCTTCTTGTGCACTATAAATATAATATTCAGAAAAACAGATTTGAGAGTGATTACTGTTTCAAAAAAACAGCACTTCTGAAAGGGCTGGCCCTTTCTGTTGGGTTCATTTTTCACTGGATTCCTTAGGTCTGTGGTCCAGAAATGGCTTGTAAATGAGCCCAGGTTTACTCTTTCTTGGGTCTTCATAAAAGGCAACCAGATCTTCTTTGCAAACAATTACACCAGGCCTGCACAGTGGCCTTTTATTTTATCAGCTCCTGCCAGTGATTCGGTGCAGCAAACCCATGATGGCAGATGCAGGCTATTTCCTTTCAGTCCAAGCTATTGATTTTTTTTTTGGTTTTACACTGATAGAAAATTACATACTGTGTCAGATTAGTCAATATTTGTGCAGTAAAAAAGTACTAATTATCAGAACTGCTCAGGTATGTATCAAAAAGCTTGTAACAGGGCAAGGACTCCTACGTAATCATGGCTTCCATACCGCAGAGCTGTCATCTCTATACACTCACCAAAACAAAAAGCTTCAACACTTTCTTTAGGCAGGCTTATGGAGTGATATGTTAATCTACTCCCATTAACAAGACAGCAAATTCCCAGTTGATTACGCAATTCAAATTAAGCACATATAATCTCACTGTGACACTCACAATGGTGTTAACATAATGCATCTATGGAGATAGATGGGATTAAGTAAGTGTGCTCAGGAGTGCTCAGCTTCCAACATTAATGTCATTTAGGCACTCTGAATTTTAATATGGGTCATTAACACCAACCTCCTGTAATCACTGCTTTAATGGCAGAGCCTTTTAACTGTGTCAGTCGTCTTCTGTGCACTGCATAGGCAGTGTAGATAATGCTACAGGCTTTCCAGTTCGTGGCAGGATGGGGGAGTCCCATCAGACTCCACCATGGATGTGTACTTTATTGGCGGTGGTGGTGGCTTGAAAGACGGAGGTCTGTTCATACTGGAATAAAAGAGACAAAACGTAGTAGAACACAAAAGCCATATAAAATATTGATGTAAAAAAGGAGGAGGTAGATGGACACTACGTTAGAAGCACAATATAAGAGAGTCCAACATTTGTTCTTACATATTGCAGCTTTCTTGTTTCTTATTCACAGCCCCACTACACGTTCTGGTGTTCATTCGGCTTTCTCAGCTCCCAGCTCCCAGTCTTACTTTATTCACGCTTTTTGTTTATTCATGTCATTCATTCATTCACTTTATCCACGCTTTAAAAATAATTTTAGAATTACTCACATTGTTGTATGAAGTTATATTCAAAGACTCATAACTTTTTTTGTCAATTTATAGGCCATTTGTAGGTTTTCTACCACTCAGTCTGTATTACCCTGAAAGTACAGTTTTATTAAAATATATCCTCAAGTAACCATGCAAAATGAGAGAGCGGGAGCAGTAGGCAGGGAAGCTATTAAAAGCTGGGGATGTGGGGAAAAAATTTTGCTTGTGCTGTTCCCTTGTACCCCTATAACATGCACTAAAGCAGCACTGCTGTTATTTTTGAAGTTAATTTTACATATATCCCACAGAATGGATGAAAAGACTGAAAACACTCTACATTTCATACCTCTGTATGAAACAATGGCATTAACTATCCAAGAACTTAAAAGGCCATGTGCACTATGGACAGTCTCTAGTGAAAAGGCTCAAATCGAAACATCTGTAATAAAACCTGTGCTGTCCTCTGTACCATGCCTCCTACCCCTTTTTCCAATACTTACATTTCTTTTTGATACTGACACCATTTCCAGATCCCTAAAACTATCAGGAAACTGCAGAGCAGAAGCAGGACTGCTACCGCCGTTGGCCAGGGGAAGGGACGGGCTTTCATGTTCTTCCCAGAGCCTGGAAGGGACACATGAAACAGAGCTCAGCTGCACGTCGCCACCAAAGAGAGGAGTTGATACTTGCTGTTTGAGGCACGCTGCTCCCCCCCCCAGATGCACTACTGTTCACAGAGCAGCCCCAAATCAATAGGGGGTTGCCAGATTTGGAAACGAAGGATGGTGAACTTCAAGGACTATCGTTCTAATTTGTGGACTTAAACCACTTTTGTTCTAGTTGGGTTTGTGGGCTGGTTTTAACCACCCATCAGTTCACACAGTGAGATTATTTAGCCACATCCTGACAAGCATTTCATCAGAAAACCACCAGTTTGGTCTATTCCCCAGCGACTTTCCCAGAGAAGAGCAGCTGCCTGCTCCGGCGTTTAGGCACGGCTCTTGGTCTCTCTGGGCTATCTGTCACATTGCTGATGCCAAACCCCGTCCAAACTTCTGGCTGAGGGCACAGCCACGTTTGGGAAAGTGCTGCAAAGCCCGGGCAACCCTCTGAGGCTTGCTGAGCCCCCTTGACTGCTTACCCAGAGGCCATCAGGGGTCTTGGCTATAGGGAGGAAGGAGAGGAAGAGCGTGGTCATCCTCTGGCCAACAAGGAGGGCAGGACTGCAATACCAAAAAGCATCTGGAACAACCCACGGGGCAAGGATGCAAGCTGCAATGACACCAGCCCTTGCCCCTTTTTTGAATTACCCTGGCCGTATTGACACAACGCTCCACGTTTCACGCTTTTCTGCATTTCCTGTTTACTGCAGCGATCTATTTAAAGGAGATGTTTCCTATGATAATGTCTCCCCTGCACTATTGACCAGATTGCCGGTAGTATAGAAATCTTTCTGTCTGGTGATGGAAATTGGATGGTCTGTAACACTGAAGGATAGATTACCCAAAAAAGATATGGGCACAGAATGTTCTTAATAACTTGTTTGTTTTTGTCAGTGTTTAGCAGCCACTGTTGTTCACACAGCTGAGCACTGAAAACCAAATTCCAGCATCTGCATGTCAAAATTCACTTAGCAAGTTGTTTACTTTTTTGGCCTACAATCTACCATTAGACAAAAAATACATTTTTACCAAATTAAAGAATCTTAGAAGACACATTATGATGTTCCAGCAAAACAGCATCAAGCTGCTCAGCACTCTAGGAGAAAGACAAGCTTTTCACCTCTTTGGTAGGGTAATGAAAGCACTAAAGATACCAAGTGACTTAGCAGCATCACAAAGAGTCTGCTCTGGGTGCAGCTGAGTGAAACCCTGGCCTCCTGTATCAAGTACGGTGTCTGAACCAAAGAAAAATCATCTTTCATCTGGGTATTTTCCCTCTTCTAATACAGCTAAGCTACCAATCTTTAAGCTCAGTATTGCCTAAGGATACAGTCCTGTTTTTTCTAGCTGTCTCGAAGTTCACGTCTTCCAAAATGATAGCTAAAATATGTGACTAGACATCTGCACAGCACTTATGATGCCCTCGGCTTGTATTCTGCGAGGATTGTGTTGCGTTCCTGGGGCTTTGCAGGGATACAGAGGTGGAACTGTTCCAATTTGTATGAAAAGAGATAATTTTCTCAATTGACTTTACAAACCTGCACCTTGCTGCTTCATTAGGCTTAACTGTGGCTATTTTATATCCTTTACTTTTCTCCGATGCAAACAACAAATGAAACAGCAGTGATGCTTGAAAGTTTCTAGTATAACGGCTGATTTATAAACCCAAGAAAAATTCCACTGTTTAGATGGTAAATGAGTAAACAGACAAAGCTAGGAAAATCTCTAGCTTTCTCATGAGATGCTGGTTCTGATCAAAATTGAGCAGTCAAGCGTATATATATATATATGTGTGTGTGTGTGTGTGTGTGTGTGTGCATACACACTGCCACACGCCAAAAATCAATCCAATTTTATGGCACTCTAAAACTTCATGGAGAATTTGGGATGTAAATGCAATTTAATTCTTTCCTCCGTTTTATTTGGTATTTAATTCTATGGGGATAAGCATGGTAGATCTGGTATTTGAAAAAAGAGAAAAAAAACCCACATGCAGTTAGAAATCTTGTAACACTCTGCTCTATACAGCATGGCAATGAAGGCTACTTATTATTATTTATATAATGGCTCATGTTACAGCTTCAGAGGATTTAACTGATAACACTAATCCCTGTGGCATTAGCTCCGCAGTTCTGGGAGGACACACTGAAACGCATCGGTATGCCTCGGCAGGTGCACCAGCGCCTGTGTGCTCTGCAATTGTACTTCAACTACAGCTGCCTCACCGAGGGCCCTTCAAGGCCATGCCTCAGCTGGTTGTCAAGCGGACACGGCTGCAGGGAAGACGATGAGTGGTGCAAGGCACAGCACCGCCTGCAAACAACAGCGTGATTCAGGGCACTTTTAACAAAAGAGCAACAAGGAAACTATGCAAGAGGAGAGTTGTGAAGCTTTAGAAGTCTCAAAGCTTCAGTTTAAATGTGTGGTTATGGACTATATACCAGTAAAGAAGCACCGGTGTGCTGCCAGAAATATATACAGAAAATAAAAAATGTTTGTAGCATTTGCACCTCAGCCAGAAGGTGCTGCCGTACGAGTGCGCTAGCGAACTGACTGGCCCTGCCTGTTCTCAAAGCAGACAGACAAACCCAGTTGTTAAGAAAAGAAAATTATTTCTGGCATACTGCTAGTAAATAGAGACTTTAAAGGGGAAAAACTGTGGATCAATGTCCTTCCCCTTCTTTTTTTTTTGCATACACTGCTCTTTACTACTCCTGCCGCCGTTCAGTGTCCTGTTAGCTAGCCTTTATTGCCCCACGTTATTTCACGATTTCATTGCTACTCTGTGATTTTAGTTAGCTTCTCCAGTAATTTATTTCATCTACAAGCTACCCTCAATACCCACTACATTTGCCTAGCAACTCTCTTAATTTTAACATTATTAAATTAAATAGGTCTAGTAAAAACATGATACTCAGATGATTGCAGTTCCTCTTTTGCTGCTGCATATCCTTAATGGTGTAGAAGACTCAAGTCTTTCACTTAACTCAGTGCAATCCCCCAGAGAAGCTGCTTCTACAAAGTATTAAAAAGCCAGTACAGATCACACCACCCAGCATCTATCCTTTGCTTGGGCACAACCTTTTCATGTTTCGTAATACCTTTTGCATGCTGATGTGATGACTGTCGAGCAGCAGCCGAAAATAAGGACGAGAGAGCTAATGTTCTTGGCAAAGGCATCATAAATTGAGGAACATGTAGAGCCCAGTACCTGCTACTGTGTTTTTTCAAGAGACTCCCAGATCACTCTATATTTGCATCTCAGTAATAAGGTTGTGCTACATTTGCATTTTGCAGTATCTTTCACTAGCTTCCTAACTCCCATATTACAGTCCCATGAAGCAAAGGAGAAGGAATCATCTACGTATGTGCTGTTGTCAAACTCTTATTGAAGGCTGGGGTGCTGGTATAGTTTTTTGTCTCTGGAGTAAAAAACATCTCTCTTATTGAAAAACACACAAGTTTGCAAAAGTTACTCTAGAAGACAGCATCACTTGTTCTTCATTTTTCCCTCTGTCTTCCCTGTTTCCTGACTAAAAATGTTAAATAGTTGTAACCTAGTACCTGAAATTTTATTTTCCCTCAGCCGAGCTGACTGAGCTCTGTATCAAGTTTTAAAGGTCTGTCGCAAGCTAGAAACTCAAGATGAGTTTAGTAAAACAATGGATAAACTTTGAGAAAACATATGGGCTATTTAAGCCTGGATTTTTGAAGAAGCCTAGACAGATTGCTTCAGCTGAAACTCAGTAGTTCTAAGTTCACAGGCCTGTTTTGACAAGAAATCAATAGAAAATGATGAATGATTATATGTAAACCAGAATTTAGACACGATTTCACCAGCTCCAATGAGATGAAACTGTGTTCTGCTCTAGAAAAGAGAGGTTTTGAGAAAGTTGGTGTATGGAAGTCATGTTTGTGATGCTCAGTACCAGTTACCAACTGATTTAACAATTTTCCTTTTACCTTTTTTTGAAGTGCTAAGTATCCTAGCTAGCTATTTATCTGATATTCAAACACAGACAGATGGTGGTTATCAAATAGACCTCTATTTGCCCAAGAGGACTATTTCACATTTACTAAGAAGAGTCCATCTTTCTTAACACCTGTCTCATTTTTGGAAAAGTACCATTAAGCCATCTGAACAAACCTGAGAAGGTGAAATGCAGCTATTACATAGTGTGGAAAGGACTTATGTGGAAACTAAAAGTAGACCCGGCTGCAGTTTTATGAGCTCTGGTTTTACTTCCACTCCTCTTCCTTTTGGGCACTCTTCCCTCATACCAATTCCCAGCTAGGTCTTGGATTTTCACTAGAAATATTAGCAATTATCGCAAAATAACAGACGCTGAACCGAGCCTTGCTCATACTGTGGCAGACTTAGGCTTGGCTTCTGGACGTGGCTGCTTCCCAAAGGCTCTGATCAAGAAGACTTTGGTATGGCAACAAGAAGCAAGGCAGAGGCATAGTAATGCCAACCCCATGCGCCTGGGCACTCCCCACCTGCCTAAGGGTCCTGACCTGTTCCACGCAACTGCACAGTTGGGAGAGTTAGTTACAATGAAGTTGTTTCCCAAAGCCACTCACTAGAGAGAGAAATGGCTCTTCTCTAGCAAACACCGTGACTTTGACTTCCTCTCTCCTCAGTCAGTGATAATACATAATCCAGACAGGAGAATCCTCACTGTTGACATTGTACATTTACAGCCTCAGTTGTGAAATTTGTTGCTGTGAAGAATGAAGTGAGACAGAAGGTTTCTGCTCCACTTGGGCAGGCTCTTTGCTCGCCCACACATGAGCCAGCTGGTAAAAGTGTCTCTGCTCTGGGGTACGGGGAGGACAGCAGAAGCAGCAGCACACCGTAATTTCAGCACCGTTGTGGTCTGCATTCATGCCCTAACATATCTTGCTCTAAACTCTTCATCCCTCAGGGCATCACATTAAGCCATCCGGTTCCCACACAGCGCTCTGCCGGGTCACGACAGAGCTTTTCGTACGGCTTCTTCCCCTGCACTACTGCACACGCTGAGAGTTGCAGTACTCTTTCATGTCTGGGTAGATACTGCTATAGCGCCTCAGTATGTTACTTTAAGTGAAGTTTACAGGATTGAATTATACAGTTTAAGGAAGATGCTCAACGTCCCACGGACTCAGAAAAGTTTCTCTGTTGCGATTGATTTTACGTTTGGGAGAATAAGGCCGCTGCAGACACCAAGGGCCGAATCCAGCCTTGCCAGGTGCAGCCTCAGCTGTGGATCATTTCCGAGCCATTGCTCTGGTGTTGCTCTGAGGAGGAAGACGGCACTGAGGAAAGACTTGCTCCATTGCCTCTTCTTTGTGCTGGCAGGGCTGCCACTTAACACGCACCATTTTCTCTCCAAAAGAGGAGCATTTCTCATGCTGGTGTGTACTGGGGCCACGTGACAGTGAGCACAGCCCTTGCTGCCGGTCAGGACAGCAGGAGTACTTGTCTAACTAATGTACAAAAACAATCAGTCCTACAGGGACAAACGACTGAGCTTCAAACTGAACAGAGCCTTAAAATAAAAAATGTTTGCTGACAGGCTTTGCTGCGGGAAAATCCTCTCCACTGGAGCAGTGGCTGGTACCAACCCTGTATTTTGAGCCTGGGACCCAGCCACCCAGAGGGTGACAGGTTCAGCACTTCGTCCGCTCCCGATCCGCGCGTGCGCTGCTGCTGCGCTGTCAAGCGCGTGAGAGCCTTTTGGTGCACGTATCTCTCCCCAGGGAAGGAAAGCCAAAACACTTGCGAGTGAGTCACCCTGCGCTGTACGGACTTCAGCGTGCCCAGGCCCCCACTGGGCCTGCCAAGGCAGTGAAGAGGAGAAATCACTAAGTCGTGTCACGCGCTGTAAATATTTGGTTTGTCAGAGTGTTGTGTTTGTACTCACGTGTTCCAATATTTCCTTCGAGCACTTTCAAGCTGTAATCTCATTCTATTTTTTTTAATTTATCTCATTCTATGATAGTTAATTAGAGATAAAGAAAATAGCAGTTTTAGAAATATATACTTGATGTCTATCCATTTGCTGAAATTAATAGTGAACTGAACATTAAAAAAATTATTAAATCAATGCAGCATTTTCTTATATACTGGTTTTCAAAAAGTGGTCTTCCTGCTGTATAACACATTAAGAAAAAGGCTCCAGTGAACATTAAATTACTTGCCAAAAGAAAAGCAAGACATTTTGATGTGTTTATGTACCTGTTGCTTATGTTCTTGAAGCAACAGAGGGAAGCTTTTGGGCTGAATTCTTTACCTTGTGTCGCGGTAGCAGGAGCTAAGCTTGCTCGACTTGTGAAATCCAGAGGGGCCAAAGATACAGACCGATTCTCTAAAGAAAAATAGATTATGCGGTATTACATGGTGCCACATTTAGTTGATAGGGTGCTTTTTAAATAATATTAATAAATCATAAAGCAACCCAAATGACTGGAGATCAAAGTTCTTGCACTAGGTTTTGGGTAAACACAACCTCTGCAGCAGAAATCCCACTACCAAAGTTTAAGGTTAAAGACTGAAAACATATACCACTAATTCAGTGGGCAATCAGACGTAGATGGAGTTATTAATGTAGACACTTTCACATGAGTCAGCTGTGTGCTTTATTTATCTACTTTTTTAATACATAGAGGTCCATTTAACTGCCATGGGATATGTTATGCACTTAACAGTGGCGCTGCCCTATTGAACCAGGGCCTTTCCAGAAACGGACCTGATGACACGCAACAACTGTATAAGCCATTCCCAAAGCAGACATAAAGGTTAGTAATTGATAAAAATAGTTGTACATGGATATCTGTAAGCTGCTTGGGTAAAGCAGTGGCATTTATCTTGTATCATTAATGAATGAGAATCATCTGACACTATCAGATTAAGGAAAAGTGGTGATTTTAACTTCTCTTCTATTACAGGCACCACTCTATCATGAGAGAAGAAATATATTTGTAATTGCATAGAGTTTTTATTCTATTTTATAAAAAGTATAGAATAATATTCAACTTTCAGCATGCCATTTTGCATACTGTCCTCCTGTGATAGAATTTTATCAAGATTTGTGTTAAATATCTTCCTAGGTAACTTCATAGATCACAAATTCCCATTAAATGGCATTACAGGTACCGTCAGTGTCAGAGCACACTGACCTTTCACTGGCACTCCTCTGCTTCTGTGTACATGACATTTAAACACAGGTCAGAGAGAGATCATTCATCTATTAACTGAGCAATAAAGAGGGACTTTTTTTTCACCTGAGATAGTCATGATGGTTGATGAAAGTGCTGAATTTCCAAGGTCTATAACAAATCAAAGCAAACACTTTTACTCAGGATGGAAGAGTTATTTATTCCAGTTTAGAAAAATGGGTCCTTGAAGGGTTCAAGAGTGAGAGAGAACACATTGCACTTAATTTCTAAATAATGTTTCAATGCTCAAAACAACCCAGTGGTACAGCAGGGAACAACAAGCACCTGAGGTAATCGTGCTGTGAAATCTCTAGGGAAAACAAAGGTCTGGGGCACTAAGGGATTTGGAGTTCCAGGCTCCTCCAAATTACCGATCTGCGTCTCACTCAAAACGCAGGAATGAGTTACATGTGTTCATCTCATACAGGCAGATGCACCTTATTAGCATGCAGTTTGAAATAACATATATGACCTTGCGGTGACATCCATATAGCTCCATCCACTAGATATTTCAGAGCCTGCAACTCCGACAGTAAATTGCAGGGACACTTTGCACTGCAAGGTGCAGCTCCAGAGCGCTTCAGCTGAGGTGTGGAAGAACAGTTTGTCTTTTTGCAGTAAGCTAAAAACAAGACCAGCTTGCAGGAGCAGAGCAAGATTTAGCAAATTTACACAAATTAAGAAAGCATTCCATCAGTCCTTTAATTAGGCAAGAGTGTTCGGGATCTTGGCTGTGTACTTAAGTAGAATGTAGACTCATTAGTAGAGATGTTATTTTTAATTATCAGTTCAGTGTTGAAAGAGCTATATTCAAATGCCAGCTCAAGCATTAGAAATAATATTAAGTGCCCCTCAAGGCTGGAGTTTAATTATCCTTGGACTTAACTATGATAGATTACCTTACAAAAATATGTGTTCATTGTATTTTCACTGAATTCATAGCTGTAGAAAAGGATCCCTAACCATCAGTGCAGAAACAAGTTTGCAAAATCATTTCTCCAACAGCTTTAAGAGTGTTTTAGGAATTTACAGATGCATTCCTAACATGATCCGTATTATTTTACTTTCTAATTTGTCCTACCTTCTGAAGCCACGGTGGAGAAAGCTTGAATTGAGACTTCATTAGACTTATTGTCTGTGAAGAAAAAAAAAAAGAAAGCAATTCTTAAAAGTAGTTAGGCTTTGGTTATAAAAGCTGATAATTTAGCTTGGGTTTTGTGTCACACTGTGCATTAGTGTGGCACCTTCACAGAGCACAGCTGAGAAGTAATTTAATTTTTTTTCCTTTCTCTCACCTCTAAATACATGAACATTTTTATACAGAGTGGATTTATCTTTGTGCTAGTATAGCCTGCAGGCAAGAATGTAGACTTCTTTAATGGACAGCTCTCTGATTTGAATACATTTCTACAAATCCACAAATTGGGTGAAATGAGTCATTCTGGAGAAAAATGATCACTCATATCCCCACCCTCCCTACATTTCAAGGCGACCAAGCTTTGATTCCTGATGCGGTCTCTCTTTGTGGAAAAACATATCCACTAAGTACATCCCCAGCCAAAAGAGAATACAGATGAGTTGAGGCAGGTAGCTACTCAGATGCATGGTGTACCCACAGAGGCCGTAAAGGTGGCAGCAGTTCAGGAATGGGTATATTATCTGCACACTGAGAAGCATGCCCAGTAGAAGAAATGTCTAAGTATGCGTTTGAGCCTGAAGCCCAGGCACGCATAAGAGGGTGCTAAGAGACATCAGACCTCCCTTCTCGTTGACTGCCCTCCCACTCTCAAGCATGCCATTAACCTCTCAACCACTGCATCTCCAGCTTTCACCAGCTGCCTGAGACAGTATTTCTCCACATTTTCCTAATCAAGCAGCTAACTCAGAGTACAGGGAATAGGGAGGGGTCTCCATTGCCTAGAACATTTCTACCATCTTACAGACCTTTCGCAGCTCTCCTTGAGGATGTGTAACATGGCCCTAACTCCAAGGGTCTGAGTTTCCAGAGAGCTTCATTGCACGCACACAGATTTTCTCCCAGGAGTGCTCAGTGAGAAATGCATGGTTATAATAGCTTACTGGTGCCTTGTAGCTAAGTGAGTGTATTTTTGGATACAGGAATTGCAGCACGATACAGTTTAATGAACAGCAAGCATTTTCTTAAGTATGTGCAGGGACTTTCTTTTCTTTTCCACGGGTTAAGATTATTCAGGCATTTCTGACAGGTTTCTTAGCTCGTTTAGAGTCTTTTTTCAAGCTGTGTAATGAATCTGTATAATAAAACTTCCACATGCTTGGCATTTCCTCAGTATTTTGAATAACGGAACGCATGTGTTGAGTGTTCTTAATGTTTTATATTTCAGATGTGTCCTATCTATGAAAACCTACCAAAAGAAAAAAATATTTCTTCTGATGAAACATTCCATGTTTCATTCCTGAGGAAAGAAAAGAGACATGCACACAAGAATATCTTATGTGCCTGGTGGATCCCATGTAACATTAGCGTTGATCTTAGTTGATAGAAACCTTCACTATCTTGCGAATCTTCTTGTTTAACAGACATTTCTGGAAATAAAAAAGAAAAGCTGTGAGGCACTTCCATTACACTCCAAACTATAAATCAGAGCTGTGCAAAATGCTGGCACTGAAAAGCAAGCTCATATGGCTGAACGTTTCTTTGCTGAAACTCTGTTCAAAGATTTGGCGAGAGCAGCACGCTTATGCCAAGCTGTCATTCCCACGAATGGCAACAGCACGTGATGATCCCGACTGTTCGCCAGCTGTTCTCTCTGAGGACGCCGGATAGTTGCCTTCATCTGGGGGGGGCACCTCTATGGTCCCCTCAGCAGAAATGGTATGGCCACAATTGCCTTTCCTGTGAATCATTTCTACAGCTGTATCGTTAGCAGGTTTTATTACCTCCAGACTGGTCCCTCAGGATCTCTCTGTCCACGTACCACACCAGGCTGGGCTTGGGAAACGCCTTCCTCACGACACAGCTAATATTTGGCTACAGGGTAGTAAAAGCCAGTCATTAGTGTCCAACATTTCTGATCTGGTTACAGTTACTGAGGTCCAAAATCTGTTACAGACAGAGCTGCTCCTACAGGCTCATACACTCACCACCCCACTGAGCAAAGAAGTGTTTGCTTCCCCTTCGTTGTGTTTTTTTCCCCATCATTTTCCTGGTTCAAAAGATTGTTGAATGAGAATCAAGGGACGCCTTTGTCACCCTGGGCCAGGTTGGGGGTGACGGGGCTCGAACACCACCCACTTCTGTGCAACAATCAGAGATGCGCAGGGTGAACCTCTGCCCCCATCCCAGTGCCTCCAGGCAAACCCCCACCCGGAGAACCAGGGGCATGGGTAATGGGCAGGGTGCAGGAAAGTGTAAGACACCCCTGGACTATCATGTAAATCCTTCCTTCATTAGGCAGATATGGAGGCAAATCCCCTGAAAAAGATTACCTGGCACAATGATATTTTGAATACACAAAATTAGATACCTTTGCAGAGGGCATGATATGTCAGGGGTTTCCAGAAGTCACAAGAAATTGCACGCGTTAAATGGAATAGCCCTGGTTATATGTCAATTGCTCCAAAGAGTAAGTATTTATGCTTAATTTACTCTCTTGTCATGCAAGAGGTGGAAAGATTGGAAGGATGTCAAAATCAAGGCTGGATTCAGGAATGCGCATTAGGAGGATGGGAGGTCTTGTCCTCATGTTGTCTGTATGTTTCCAATTAATATTTACTTAGCAGCTTTCATAGCCCCGAGGGAAATGGCCTTGTCCATTTAGACATATAGATTCACATTACTATGCCTTCAGCACAAAGCCCTCTTGCACCCACTTTTGAAGAAAGTGGTACACACACGCATTTAGCTGAAAGCAAGCTTGATGTATAGCAGCCAGCAAAAGTCAATCATTCAGTAGGAAGACTAAAAGTAACCAGCTGCAGCCCTTTTCTTGCCATGCTAAATAACCACCCAACTCATTATGTATTGCTCTCTCCTCTTTTCCTTTCGTTATTCCCTTATTTTTCAGCCAAGTTTTGTTCATAGTAGTTTTACAAATGCTGAAATACAAATCTGATCGGCAGAGTAGATTTAAGCCCTACAAGAAAGGTTAGAAAAGAGAAGGAAAGGATTCCATATTTGTTTGGTGGTGAAGGACGCACAAAGGCTCATGGAAAAGTTTCTATTGACCAGCCCCTAGGTAGCAGCACCCCTTGCTCTTGCAGAGCTGGACAAAAGCCTGCAACATCCAATACCACCTCTTTAAGTTTTGGCATTACTAAGCAGATGGTACTATAGAGGCCCCAAAACACATGCTGAAATGCTCAGCTCCAAATATGGTCCTCAGACTTACATCCGATCCCTCCATCAGCAGCTGATTGCTCCAGCTGAGAGAGTTCTGCTCAGAGCATATGATAAGCATGGCAAGAGTATCACTTTTCCACAGATGCACTAGGTAACTTGGGAGCAACCTGAAGCTGTTTTCATCTCCAGCACTGAGTCAGAGTAGCACCACATTAGCCTGAATCAGATGACAACAACTCAGAGGGATTACCACCTAGGATGGATGTCCCAGAAGGATCTCTCGATCAATCATTGTTACAGTGATACTGATCCTCATCTCAGCCTTATGGAGTAAATGCTGTCAATTGAATGTTATAATAGAAAATGCGATTGGCAGTGATCATCTAAGTGCTGCTCCTTGCCCAGAGTCAGGGCCAGTGGTACTCCTGTCATTCCTTGCTGTCCCCAATGATGGTGGCACCACAATCTGCTCAATCTATCCCAAAGTTTCCCGGTCCTTACTATGAGAAAGGCTTTCCCAATGCCTAGCCTAAATCTTCCCTGTACAGTCGAAGTCTACCACTTCTTCTGGTGCCTGTACATGCTCATTAAACAGATTATTCTCTTCCTCTCTGCTGCAGGCTTTCACATATTTGAAGAATTATAGACTGAAGTTGAAAAGTCAGAGAGGCACACAAGAGCTTAGCCTGAAATCCTTTCCCCAATGGATGTCTTCCGGACTCCCAGTCTTTCACAATCAGCAAGGAGGTCTATGTGGTCCAGCAGGCTCCCTGAGAACCCCTCTGAACATGCCTATTTCTTTACGCTATCTGAAATCCAAAAGGGATGAGACCGGATAACGACAGCATTTCCCTGGGAACTTTCTTTAACTGGATCATAGCCATTAAAACTCTGTCTGTTTTTATACTGAAAGCTTAAAAGAAAACCTAAGTTTCATGACAAGTTCGCAGTAGTTTCCGTGTCCTGGCATGGAGACTGTTATTGTTAAAGATGAATGGTAGTCTTTTTGATCAGACCAGTAGCATCTTCTGACTAGCTGGCTGTAAAACTTCCGTAGTAGAAGCACAGGGAAAGGACCAGCAGTAAATGGTTTGTATTTGCTTTCTTGGCTATTTCTCAGAAGCTGACTTGTCTCAGTGTCCCTGAGTACGTTCATTTCCTTCCCTGTGCAACATTATTCCCTCGAGTAAATGCCACAATTTCCATAGCTGCATTTTTATTTTAAAAAGTCACACTTACATTCAGCAAATAGCCGATCACTAGCTTAAACATAATAGAACTCAGATGCTCCAAAAGCTCTAAAATTTCCAACAGTTTCTTTGTGAGACCGTGCTGCTGTTCTCTTAAGCTCCTCTCTGATGTACATTATATCCCCCGTTTTCCTTTTCTCAGTCCGCTAACAACACCTCTCGTTTAGCTACCTACCCCTTGGGAGCATGCCCAACAGTTCCCTGCTCACAGTACACCCAAACTTAGCGGAGGGGTCACGTCTCTGCCCTTACACAAACGGATGCAGGAAGTTCACATAAATCTCTGCTACTTTCTTTGGAAAGGGGTTTTATGCAGCGTGGAGAAGATAATCTATATTCTGTTAGGTGGTAGCTGGTACATGAGGAGTGGGAGGGAGCTTCGCAGCCCCCTGCAATCCACCTCAACTCCTCCACCTCTCCACCCTACCCTGCAGCCTTGCTTAGCACTGCTGCAAAATCAGATTTTTACCCCTGCCACAGAGGAGCCCTCAGCTAGCTCTTGTCTGTGCTCACTGAAGCTGTATCCTGCAGCAGGGTAGAACCAGCTCAGGAGAAGGGGTATGAATCACTGACGCCAAATTGTTGACTCACTCCTTGCCGTGAGAGCCTGGGCAGGTCTACCAGGTCTGATTTACTTAGGCTGTCTGCTCTGGTCGGGTCCAGAGTGCCGCTGAGCAGCACGCTTATAGTCACTGAAGTTGTTCTTTATTCTAAAATTACTCACCTTTTGCAAGGTGCCAGCTGAGCCCTCTTGTAGGCTAGCAGAGATTTCAGGGTAGGCTGGAAAATAAACAAAAAATATATTAATGAAATGGATACCGAAGGTCTTCTAATGGGAGTTAATAACCTTATTTCATAAAACAAGTATAAATTGAACTCTACATCCACCCAGCTACCCGGCAACACGGAAGTTTGCAGAGCTCCAATTTGAGGTCAAGGAAGTGGTTTGCAAGCATATATCAGCAGCTACTACCATAACATCTGTGATGTATCTCATTGCCTTTCAAAAAAACTTCTTGGGCTGCTTTGCTGGAGACGCTAGCTAAAACCAGCCTGCAGTCACAACCCTGGTAACAGAGCAACCCTTTCAGGGCCTACCAAAACAATCACTGTCCAGCCATTGTTCCTTCAGATATTTGAAGATCAAAGGCATCAGTGCAAACTTTAAACACTACCTGCCCCTGCCATTCCCCAAAACATTTATCGGCTTTGGGTAACAACTTTCTGCACCCTGTAGTCTGGGCAGATATGGGATAATGTCACACTACAGGCGCTGCCTGCCCTGCCAGGAAACCCGGGACTTACCTTCTCATCAAAGCAGCAGATTTCTAATGACCACATCCACAAGAAATAGAAAAAGTATTTGTTTGCTTTCTTTCATTTTCACAGCATTTTGGTTCTAGCCAGAGCTGACTATATCAACACAAGCTACCAGGCACCATAAGCATTTCTAAGTTATTAAACCACAACCATTGCAATCACTGGCTGTGCAGTAATATTAAGTGACTTATTACATAAGAACTGTTAAAACTGTGGTGACATATAGCGAATCTCAGAGGCCTCAGATAAATCATGCTTCTGGTCCTTTCTAAGCCTCAAAATTGGACTGGAAACAAGCACAGACCTTGGATCACTGAGGAGGTCTGTGAATCTTTCTCTTCCCAATCCACACCTCACTTTACTTTCCACCACTGCATACTTCTTCTTTTCTTTTTCTTCTCCTTTTTTGTGTTTTTTTTTAAGCCTGCTAAACAATATAGGGCCACCTCTGTTCATTACTTCCCCTCTGAGATAATCTGTTGATGTTTCTCTGTCATTTTATGCATTGCATCCTTCTGTGACTTTCTCTCTCTCTTCTTTTCATTTCTGCTTTTCTGCCTAGTTTTTCTGACTGTTTACACACGGACTGACCCATATTTAATTCTCAGGGCTTTGTGATTTTCTGGAATTAGGGTACTTTTGTAGTGGAATTTCCTTTTTTTTTTTCTGCTTTTTGGTTGGCTTGTCCTAACTATAAGGAAATGAGTATTTTAAAATTTCATCCTTGTTTCTGCCTTGCTAAAACAGTACCTACAGTACATACAAGGCTGGCAGAAGATAACCATACTGTTTTAAATGTGAGAAAGAATGTGGTAAATTGGGCCTTCTAAAATAGCTGAAAGTTGTCAAGGGTTTAAAACAACATTTAGTCTTTTTCATGTTCTTCCCTTTTGTTTTAAATTTGATCAGAACAGGGTATGTTTTTCCAAATATGCATTGGATGCTGTCCTCTGCTTTTTCAGAAGACTTATTTGCTGGGTAACTATTCTATACAGCAGCTCCCAAGTAAAGCTCTGAATCATCTAATAGATCCTTTCCATTTAAATTCTGAACCCATGTTAACAGTTTGACATTCATTTGTCTTACTAGGATATTTACCAATGTTTTGGGTCTAGCAGAAATTCAGTATTTAGTATAGTGGTTTCTGCTGCTGAGCTTTTACTCTTACAAAAAGGAGAAATCAATATTTGGCAAAGTTAGACATGAAAAGGCGATGCATCCTCTCAGAAACTTGCATCTAAAAGTACTGCACTCAAGAAAAAGCGTATTTTTTAAGCATTTCAGTCCAAAAGTGCCTTCTTAAAAAAAGCCCTCTCAGCTAAGTGTCTGTATTTACTCAACCCCTTGAGTCTCACGCTGTCAGTGAGGCTCAGTCATGTGCTCCCTGTCCCTTGCCTGCCCTCCTCCCTGTGACCAGCTGGCCAGGTCCTGCGCAGTGTTGCACCGTGCACTTGTGCAACATTGGCTTGCTGGGACTGGAAAACCTCGCCAGGTTTCAGCTTGCCATGCTTCTTTAGTCATGTCCCTTCGAAAGGCCAGGACGGCTGATATCAGGCACCGCTGACATCTCATTCGCTTAATGCAGCATCTTAGGTCCTGCTGAGGGTGGGTCCGCCCACTAGGATGTGAGTGTGCATTTCTTCATCCTCTGTTCAGCTCTGGCGCAAGGAGCGAGAGAGTTGCTGTCAGCTGAAGTGGCTGTTGGTCTGTCCTCAAAAGGCTGAGCCCCAGGGTCAGAAGCCAGCCCACGGCGCCTTGGACAGTGGCGAGATGTTCAGAAGAGCTCACCACCAAAGGGCACGGTTCCTCTTGTTTGCATTGCATCTCTCTCCTGCTGTGCTGACATGCTGATGTGGGGGTATGGGCAGGCAGCCACATGTGACACAGATATACAGAGAATAAGCCAAATACAGCAACCTTTTAAATTAACGGATACACAGAAGAAGGCAAGATCATCAGCAAGGAGAGGAAGAGTTCAAGTATGTTAATGTACTTGAACAATTACCCGGGTAACACGGAAGCTATTTGACAAATGGTGCTTTTTATAAGTAAGAACCGTGACTAAATCATGCAAATATAAGAAGAAATCTGAAACTGTTAACTTCTGTTTTTATTTCTCTGGCATCAGTGACCAAGAGCCTCCAATCAGAGATTTTACTTTTTCCAGTGCTCCCTGCTGAGTCTCTCTTTGCACACTGCATGCCAGCCTTGCACGGCTGTGCCATTGTAGAGCCTCCCCTGGCAAGCACATGCAGTCAAGGCAGCGTTGGCAGACCCGCTGCCCAACACCCATTCATTTCAGGGGTGCTGGAAATATGTTTTCCAGATGCACTGCTCTACAAGGCAGCTTTGCTCTCACTAAGCTGTAGCTCAGCAGTTAGAGCCATTCTGCTAGAAAGGGAACAGAGCAAGTAACTAAAGATGTGGAAGGCTCCTGATATGGAGTGCCAGCCCACTCACTTGCAGCACACTGGCCCTGCCGCTCCTGACCAGTCAGAGACCCCTTAGAAGTACCTTATTTTCAGAAAGAAAGCTAACTTTGGCTCTAGGTAAGAATTACGTGCCTATAAAATACTTTCAAGTGAATCTTCTGAACCTTTTTAGTTGCTTAATAAATTTGGGCTATGATTTCCTAACCACAGGCAGCATGGCCATGTTGTAATTCTGGGGCACAAAGATCTCAATGGCCTAAGTGCCTACCTGTAATCCACAATGTGTCAGTGTAAACTTACACACATAGATGAGTTAGTGGTAATTTGCATGCCAGTAGTGTTGGTGTACACTCAGCGGGATACATCTATCTTTTCTCATTCCAGGGATTGAAAGAATTGCCTCATATCCTTTCTGAGAACTATGGTGTTATGTACAAACATCTTGACTTATTGTAACTGAAAGAATAATGCAAATATTAAGAAAGAAATTCAGTAATTTTTCAAAAGCTACTGCCTTCAGAATGAGATAGGAATGTTGTATTTGATCATGCAAGAGGACAGCTGGCATAAACCCCTTACCCAGCACTCTCACTGTGGTGCTGCTCTTGCGGGTTCGCTCTGGGTGGTACGCCACGTGGCACGAAAACATCCTGCCATCATCAGAGAGCTTAGTGGGGAAAATCTTTAGAGCATTATTCAGACCCAGGTGTATTCTTTCTCTGTACAATGCATTGTCATTCCTATATACTTCAGGAGAGGAGGGCTCCTTAGTTACAAGTTCTTCTTTCCTTCCGTTTTCCCCCTGTGAAAAGAGCAACCCATGCAAGGCATGAAGATGGGACACCCCATGTTCCTTCTGTAGAAAAGCCCTATTCCCATGATGAAAATCCTCCCTCACACCCCTCGCATCAAGAAGTAGCTTCAAGAGTAACTGGACACTTGCAACACTTATTTTTCCCCAAAACATTGTCTTTTTATGAGTAGATCCTCCAGACCTTCAAAACTAACAGTGGTCATCGTCTTACCAATGGACTGCGGAATAAATAGCTGTGCCTTGTGAGAAATGGTCTCCGTAACCTGCACAAAGGGCTATAGAGCTGCTTTCTCACTGTATAAGCCATGCTAAACACTGCATACGTACCAAAAATAGGAGAAACTCCAAGATAATCCTTAGATTTTTAAGCTTTAAATAGTGAAAACCTGATAATAATAGCTGAAAGTCGTCTTCTCTTAATGCCTGTGTGCCAGTCACTCCTAGATGCAGGCGTAACCAGGATGTGCTGGACATTGGTGCCTCGATACACATTTACAAGTAGCACTCTGAATGACACATGGCCACCTACCCATCAGGGTGCTGGCCTTTTGTTTTTCTCCCTTTCTTTACGAATTGACTTTGTCATGTGAACTACCAACACTAAAAAGTGTTACTTACAAGTGTGTTCCCTAGATTTAAGTCTAGAAGGAATACGTGGCAATGAGAAGGACATTTATATAGAAAATGAGTTAGGGCAGAAGACTAAAAAATGAAAACACATGAAAGCCACTTTTAAGAAATCCCCCAACAACTACAGCTCCTCTGTTACACGTGATAATGGATAGATACTAATGAGCAAAGCTCAAGGACACTGCTGACTGCTGCTTAGCTCCAAACGCTGAAGTTAATAGTAAAAGTACGATGCAGTACAAAAATATAACTTGTTTAACCTCTCCCAACTAATCGCTTAAAGCAATATTTTTAAGTGGTTAGCTAGATAACTGGGTTTGCATGGCTTTTGTGTGCGTCTGTGATATGGGTGTTAACAGCAAAAAAAACATTCTAGTCAGCCTCCTTTTTTCTTCTGTTTCAAAGCAGCCTGATTTCTCACCACTCTGTTCAATAACTGTGTATGAGATATTAATGCTTTGCTACAGAAAAAATCCCTCAGAATTCAAATGCAAAGACTAGTTTAGCTCAGTTGCATTTGCTGAGTTCTTTGTCACTTTCCACAGAACTGCTCTACACATATTCATGAAAAATTTAAAGCAATTAAGATGGATTTTTTCTTCTTTGTTTGTTTAACAGCTATCGTTTGCCATGTTTATGTTGCAAAACTGCATTTGCATTTGCATATTATCACAGTCCAACCCTATTGATATCTTTTATTTAACATTTTCTGCAGGACATAGTAAAGTCTAACGTTTCCATTTCTATCTGCAAAAATACCTTCTTTCTTCCTAAATTTGTACCTGAGATGAAAAATAGTTATACTTACCACTAGCCATTTCAAAGGATAATTGGACAGATTTTCTGAGGTCACGTTCCCAAGGCATGGAATTTCTAAAGTCTGGTTTAACTGCACTTCCTTCACATAATGCTGCTCCTCTTTTATCGTTGCAACAACAACAACAACAACAAAGCCCAAGAAGGAAAATAAGAAACATGATGTTAATCATGCTTTAAGAGCTAATGCTGACTACTCTTCTGTTCAAGGAACAGGTGATTTGTTCTGTTTAGAGGGAAATTTTCAACCGTTTCCCATAGACAGGTGAGTGAAGTGAAAGCCCTGCACCCCGTTCTAGATGCAGTTTCATGACTAATTCACGGCTTTACCAGAATTTTTGTGCAATTCATGAAAACCTTCACCTAACTGCTGGATGAAGATATCTCCTTTTGGAAGTGAGAATCACCTGAAGCTTTCATTTTTCTCTTAGGATTTTTTCCATGGCAATAAACCTTTATATCAAGTTTGCTCATCTGTGCTTCCTTTCCTCTAAAGCTGTCTGTCTATGCATTAAGTAAGGTGCTCAGCATGCCAGATGGGTTAAGATAAACCCAATTTTTCAGTCTAATTGATCCTTTCGTCATTATTGAGCCTGCCTTCTACCAGAAACAGAGCTCCTCCAGCCCTTGCAAAGCCTCTCCCAAGCGAGAGAATGGCAAAGCTGGCAACAGGGAGCTGCATCATGCAGAGCTGAGCAGATTGCCCCTGTCGAGCACGTGGGCAACGCAGGGACTGCTCAGCTCTGTCTCCTGTTTCAGCCACAGCCCTCGATTTCACAGTTGGGAAGGGAAGTGTGATTGCCAGGCACAAGGACGGCATCACCTGCCCGGCCAGCTGGCCGGTGTCACCCCACATCGCTGTTGCGCGTAGCTTGCACCCTCTCCACTGCCGTGTGGCTCTTAAGCCTTAACCACCGCGTCACAGGTGATGCTGCACAGCCTGCCACAGTCAACTAGCCACCACCTCCATGAAGTAAAAATGTGTTTTCCCTCTTTACACACCATTCTTGAACTTTATTCCTTTGGTCGATCTGGCTTGTGTGTTGGGATCAAAGAGATCTTTTTTTTCTCTCTTGCAGGGGAAGGGAGGCTACCAAGTAGTCCCAGATTGCTATGTTATTTGGCAGTGGGGACTTCTGGGCGACAGCAACCTCCTTCTTCCCTGGGCAGCAAGCACAGGACAACATGGCCAGCATGTGGCCGTTGTAGCCGAGGCTCCAAGAGGCAGAGGCTGTGCATCCCCGCTTGCCCTCAGGAGTGAAGTACCTGAGGAGCCAATCATTACAGCAGGAAGAAGAGCACGCCAGCCCTAACACCACAGTAAAGAAAGGACCAAGGAAATGAATCTACAGAGTCTCAAGCAGGAAAGCAGCATAGGAGACACTGCTGGGACAAGCTCACATGCAAAAATGCCATGCAATGTACAGGCCTGACTGTGAGAAGCACAAAGCTGAATATTCTGCCCAGGAGCTCGGTCTGCAAACTGCCTCTCTCAGTCATGTGTCGTTTTATTCCCACCGCCATTAGCTGTGTTTTGGCTAAGGTTGTCTGTGTTGGTTAGCCCTTTGTTCAGCTGTTGCTCTGTGGGCTTTGTGCAGCGCCTACTAGCTGAATCCACCTGGATTCACTTCACTTTGATGTAGCTGAGAGCTGCACTTCATTAATGACCAGCACCCTTCTCCATCCTACTCCTAGGCTGGATTAAGGTCTTTTACTGTCTTCTGAATGGAAGTGGTTCATTGCAAAAGATCTGGTTACCTTAAAATACAAATCTGCTAGAGGTATGTTGCTAACTGAGTATTTTAGTTCTCTCTAGCAGGCAGTAGCACAACTTGTTACATCATGCAGTTGCTGAAGAAAACCACAAAGATGCTGATATGAACAACAGCTGCCTATGTTTAACATATGTAGGCAGCACTAACAGTGTTGAACATGCTGGCATCAACGACAGGCACCAGCAAGGGAAAAAGAGCAATGCTTGATTATTGCTATTACTATATTAAGGACCAGACAAAAAAAAAAATTGCATGAAGAAGAGCAGAAAACCAGATTCTCAGTCTATGTATTTCCTTTTGTCCTCCCTTTCAGGGGTTCCAGGGCCACAGGGCTGTCCCACAGCCATGGCCCAAGGGTAGAGCATTGCTCCAGCAGGCTGCCAGGACAGCCTGTGTAGCCTCACTCACAATATCTGGCACATCTATGCAGGTCCTCGTTAATGTGGGTCAACTTTAACACGGGAGGTTTTCACCCAGTTAACAGCACTGCTAACAGAGATGCTGCTCCCACTGCTCACTGCTGCCCTTTGCTACTGCCCAGGCTACCTGTGCCTGCTGCTGGCCCTAACGCTTGAAAACAAGCTTGTCTATAGTCCTGGGTGAAGGTGCTGGCCTCGCAGCTCAGCAGTGAACTCTTGCCAGGTTTGCCGTTTCTCCTTTAATCCTTCTTTCCCTCTCATGGAAGCCTGAGCCTGGAAGAGACTTCTGGGCTCATCAAATCCAGTCCCTTGCAAGCACAGCAACAAGCCTCTCCAAACCCTGCCCAGCTCCATCTTCAAGGCAATTTGGATTTTTTCTCCCTCAACACTTTCATTAAATGGCTGTTCCCCAACTGGCTGTACCAGCGGTTGCCACCATTGTTTAAACTATAGTTAGATCCATTCACATCCTATTTGAAACCATTTGTTCCTATGACAGGATAATTTACATAGCCTCCCCAGAGTTCACGCTATCCCCTAAGGCTTACTTACCACAAGCAATCACGTTGCTTTCCAGCCTCTATCTGGCAGACGAAGTAAGCCAAGTCTCTGCTCCTCTGATCGTCCTAACCTATCCTCCTCTGCTTTGCTCCACTCCCTTTTTGAAAGTGGGGACATGCCCTCCTGAAAGCTCATCTTTCTACCTGTGCTAATCCCTAAGATGCCCTGCAGGTTGCCCCCTCGCCCTCTACCAGCCATGGGTGCTTTCCCTTTCTGGTGACCAGTCCTACACACATAGCTGCTATGCAGCGTGGTTTGGAGAGCTGGCACCCTTCATCCCACGGCACTCTGAGCTGCTTGGGCTGTCTTCTCCACTTCATGCTTCTCCCATGTGGAAATGCTGAAAGTGTCCATCTTGCCACCTTTTCTGTCTTCCTACATAACTTCGTATTCCTCAGGACAAATAAGGTTTCCTAGTCGTGAGCTGGGTAACAACAGCTAAAAAGTGCCTGGTAAATGAGAATCTATGTAGGCAATGGCACTCAGTGCACCACTGCAAACCCCATACCCTGCAAACCTCATATCCTGGTATTCCCTCCCCTCCCTGCCCCTGTTATGAAAAATTGACATCTCATTGATAATCACTTACCTTCTGCCTGGACTATAAGCTGAATTTTTCCTGCCTTTGTCCCAAAAGGGTAAGTAGCGAGACTGCATTCGTATTGCCCGCTCAGGGACACACTAACGTTTTTCAGCTGCAGAGCCCACTGGCTGCACTCTGGAAAGGTATTTGGGCCAGGAGAACACGAAGCCTCTTTAGCATCGCTGCTGCAGCAGTTCCCGATGCTGAAGGACACTGAAAAGTTGTAAGCAGTCTCGGGAAATTTGAAGTACTGGATGCCGTAAGTGGGGTGATAAACAGCTATTCTGGTAAGTTGGTTGTCATCAATCCTGGACCACTGCACCTGTGTTACATAGATGTGATCTGATCTTGGGAAGCTGCACACCAGGGTCACATCAGTACCCGGTAAAGCACGGACCACTTTTGCTTGTGTAATGACATCTTCAAGCTGGCCTTAAAAAACAAACAGGACAATTTTCAGCACAAATAATACTTAAACAAAGGTCTCTTCAAAGTTGTCTTTGGCATGATTTGGTGCGTTAGAAGAGATAATTACCCAGACTGTATGCTGAGGCCTCAAGATGTAACAGTACACTTTGCAATGAGCTTTAGAGCGGAGAGAAGCAGCAGAAGGCCACTAATACAAACTGCAGAGAAAGAACTAGCAAAATAAATGAGCAGGAGGATGGGGAGTTCCCATCACACTAGCTGAAGAGAAATGGGAGCTTCGAGGGGCTCTGTGAAAATGGAAATCTTTCAAGAGGTATAAATAAAGCAAAAGCTGGGACCACTTATTCCCCAGCTCTTTTTGCAAGAACAAACGAATTATCCCTGCTGGCTAATTTTGCCTTGAACAATTCCATCTGCCTATTTCCATTACCTTTGCTGGTTTGACAGGGAAAGCGATTCTTTTATCTCCACGTTATTAAGCAGTTCCTGCATGGCGTAAACAAGTGTCCACTTCAACAGCAGAGCGAGTAGCCCCTGTACGTGCTTTCTTCTCAGTTAATTTCATACAGCATGTTGGCAGCCCTTGGTGTGCCATATAAAGAAGTAATGCATTGGAGAAGTAAAGGGGCTTTCAGCATGAGTCTGTACTACTTGTTTTTTGCTGCTGCCATGGTAAAATTGATTTCTCCCCCTGTCTCCCTCCCTCCCGAGAACAAATGTTTTGCAGTCACCCACAAGCTTCCCGAACCCTAGTATGCAGGGTGCTAACAAACTTGGGGAGATCAAGAATTTATGAACAGGGGGTCACACTGAACCAAATAATAAAGCACGCTCACAGAGCCATACAGCAACAGGCCCTTCTTCAAAAGGGCCTGTGGGTCCCCAGAAAAAATGAATTTGTCTAGGTGTTCTCAGGTGTGGACTTGTTCCCATTCATGTGCACTGACTTTTTATCCTCCCTATGTTTCACAACGTCACCATAAACTCTCCAGGAGAACTTGCCTCGCTGTCCCCCCTGTATACACTGTTCATGCTCTTTGCTTTCGAAAAGCAGGGATGGCTTTTTTACTTTAAAGCATGTCCAGCCATGGGCTACAGGGCTGCAAAACACCTGAGCTGCAAGGTGTCTTGTGGTACATCAGGCAGCCTGGGTGGTTCCTGCAGGATGCAGAGTGCACCCCACCACCTCACCCGGGGACACAACAGGAACCCTGCGGCACCTGCAGCCCAAAGCTCTGGTTTGGGATCAGGGAAGGTGAAACAGGGCAGATTCTCACGGCCTTGCAGAGCTGACTGGGATGTGGGGTGTAACCACTGAACCAAGACACGAGCACGCAGAAAACCAGCACACAGGAAACAAAACTACTGAATAGTCAGGGCAAACATTCATCTCGGGTTTTTATCTCTGTGCACACTAAGCTAATCTTTCAATTGACTTCCAAGAGGTGGAAGGAGGTAGGAGGGTGAAGAAAAATAAGCCTGGTTGGTTGGACAAGTGCTGTAAGGAAAATTACTGAAAACTATTTCATCGGGTTAAGGAGCTTATTAAACCAAATGCTCACTGATTTCACCAGAAGTTTTGCATGAGTAAAAGTTAAGCAGAAACTAATTATCACTCTTGGGATCAGACTGGCAGGCATATTCATGTTGATGCTCTATTAGGCCAAAGGACCCTGTAAAGAATGCCTGCCAAGAATTACTTCAATATTTTATGTTAAGATGAAAAAGTCACATATCTAGAATTAACATTTTAATTTTTATTTTTTATTAATAGTCTAGCACTGCAAGCTATTATAACAAAGTCCCTTTCATGCAGAGGTGTTCTAATCTTTATGCCAGCATGTCAATATAGTAAGTCTATTTTTAAGCCAACTTTATACTTCCAGCTCAAGGCTGTCCATTACCCCATGTCTGGGCTCCATTGCAATTCAGTGGAGTGACTCCCAGACATTTACACTCCTATGGAGGTGGGTAGGGGGGCACTTTCACCGTTGGATGACTTCAGTGGGGATTTCATCCACAGAGGGGAAAAAATATAGTCTAATTTTTCCCCAAATAGTATTGCATTGAGCTTTCTTGCATGTGCATGTCCTGAGGCTTCTATTTGTTTCTTTGCATTTGGGAACTTATATTTTCTATGAATACACATATGACATATTTGCCTTTCTTCTAAAAGCCAGTTTGCCTCACTGATGTAGAAAATGGGAACAGCGCATGCCAGATACTGAGATGCATCTTATCGTGCCAGTTAAATACATGAAACATCACTTTTTCCTTTGTTAATTGGTAAAAGACCCATCCTACAAGATTTGACTTCTGATCGGGTAATAAATACTCCAGCATTCAGGATAGCCAGGCTGGGGCAGGGGGTGAGGGCAGGGGTGAGCACCAGGCTTTTTCTTATTTTTCCTTGGATTGTTTTTGTTTTAAACTCTCTCCGACAGGGATGCAGTTCTCACTACTCAAATTTGTTGAAAGGTTTAACATCAAGGACAAGCTTTTAATATAGCACATAGGTCTGGATGAGGAAGAGAAAGGGAAGGGTCCATTTAAGAGGTAAGAGCTGTGCAATTTATCCTTGCCTTTAAGTGTTTCTACCCTGTTTCTCTCTGGGTATGCGAGTGTGTCTGTGATTGAGAGAGACAGATTTTAGTTGCTCTTTGAAAGTACAATTTTCCTTTTCAGCCATTTGAGACAGGCACATGTTGTCCTAAATATGAACGAGCTCATCCCAACAATTATTCTAGTGACAACTGGTTATATATTTTGAGTAAATTAATTTGCTAGTCTGCACAAACCATTTACTACTTGTTAGCTGTACACTATAACTAAAGTTCTTAGGAAGTTGCCATTAAACACAAAATCATTGCTAGTAGGTACAGCTTTGCTCTAGTGAGACAGACAAGCAAGCTTTTCAGCCTGTCTGCAAACACCCTCCTTCCCCTCAGCACCCTCCTTGGAGACCTGAGTAAAGCCGCTCCTGGCGCTCACCTGCGACACTGGACATGGCGAGCAGATAAAACAGGGAGAAGAGTCCTCTTCTTTCCATCTTTGCTTTGCTGATGAAGTCTTGTTAAATATTTTGTACTTTCTGGGCCTGCTCCCTGCACGTTCGCTGAAGAGGAAGTCAGAGTGGTCTGCCCTGCGCAGACAGACGGATGCACAACACAGCCAGGCTCATCGTTTTAGTATGACTTCAAATTAAATGTGAAAGCCTCAGTTTCCTGCCAGAGCGATAAAATTAGTACATCTTGTGAAACTTTCATGCTGAAAACACTACCTGTACTCTAAGCCCATGTTCACTAATAATTTTTTTTTTCTTGCCTTTACGGATAAACTCAGAGTAAACAGTTTAGTGTGTTAAACTCTCTCTTCCTGAAAGTCAGTTAAGTAGGTGTTCAAGGTTGAATACATGGCACATAGCATACCGGAAGGGTGGCTTTTTTGCCCCCTGCTTCATTTCCCTCATATGTTATTCCAAAATGGCTTGAAGAGACAATTTCCAACCTCTCTGCTCTCATTGGCTCTTGAAAGAAATGACAAAATATCAAAAATAATCTCCCTAAACTAAAACAGAGTTCACTGAGAGTTTTCCAAATTCACTTCTTTCTGGAGAAGGAAAAAATTAATTATTTTCTGCAGAATGAGAAATTATAGGATCACACATGACAACGTCACTGCGTGTGGTTCACCCGCTGCACCTCATCCCGATTCGGCTGGTGGCTTTGGTGTAGGCGACACCCTCAAGCAGAAGTGCCTGGTTTCTGTCAGTCCCTGGACCTGCCTTATTGCAGTTAAATCCTTTCGAATGAAGGAATGAAAAATGAAGTGTTTATCATGGAAAAACAAACACAGCGCTCTGCCTCAGAAGGCCAGAGGTATGGTTTTGGTCCGTACTAAAGTTTTAACCACAGTGGTCTTAGAGCATGCAAAAGGCAAAGCTTATTATCTGCTGGAAAAAGGTCAGTCTTGTACCGAAGCGCTTGCCACTGCTACCTGGCACTGTGCAGACGTGACGACGCTTTGCTGTCAGCCTATTGCATGGAGATGCTCCGTGCACGCTCTCGAAGACGTCCAGGACCCTGGGCACGAGAGCACGAGTCCAGCATTTGCCGCAGAAGGTGCACGCTTCATCTGTGCAGCAACAGTCCTCTGGTGGGAAACTCAGGGTATACTTCTTTGTTTCTTGTGTGTGGTGCAGAGCCATCACAGAGCAAACTGGGCCTGCTGTTGGCAGCTTTTAGGAAAGAAAACAGATTTAAGCTTTTGCCTCTCATGTTTCTTTCCCCAAAATCATAACAAAAGAGTAAGGCAGGACACCTCATATGCACAATTTATACGTACATTATCTGACGGTTTTTTGGATGCCAGGATTGGTCTTCAGAAGTCCAGCTAAGCAGGGATCAGGTTATTCCTGTTGCCACCCTTCCCCGGAGCCTGAGGATGAGGCACCCTTTGACTTTAAGGAGAGCTGATTACAGCCCATCTGTCAGGGCAGAATTTGTTCAAACAGAGAAAACGAGCGATCTGGATGACCAAAATCACAGTCCTTTGAATGGATACTTCTCTCCATCAACTGTGCCATCACTCTGGCAGCTGGTCTGCTCGAGGGTGATCTGGTTCCTGAAATTTCTTTCCGGAAAGCAGTCCAAGGGGGCCTAAGTGCCCTTGCCAGCCCCCGTCCTTTTACAGCGTCCCTCTCCATTGCTCAAGCAAGGCATACAGAAATGGCTAACCGCCTCTGGGAATTTTCTTCCCAACAGCTTTCCATTTTCTTCCTGACTAGCTGACTTTGACTGAAATCGTGGGGCTCCCCACAGCTGCAGCGTGTGAGTCACAGAGCCCCCTCAAAAAAAGAAAAAAGAAAGAACTCACTGGTTATTTCCCTAATTTACTCACTACCAGATGTAGGCAACATCTGTACCACTTCCCTAATTCATGCATGTGCAATCTTTTGGTAGCCCTTTTAAGCAAGCTAATATAATCCAGCTGGAACAGCTGTTAGTGCTGGCATGGCTAAGGTCAGGCCTACAGATACATGTCTTAGAGGCTAAATGTTAGTGCACTGTTCCCTTTTTATCCGCATTACTTCCCCACCTGAGAAACCGTACTGAAGGCAGTTGTGCTAAGTACACTGGATGCCCTGGTTACTAGTCAGGGAATATGACCAGGGAATGAAATCTCAGCTTGGCACTCAGAAGCGTGACAGAAAATTATTTGTCTCTGAGAATCAGGAAGCCCAGAAGTACCGGATGGACAGAATATTCAAGCCATTGTATTTACCAGCCATGGAAAGGAGCAAAAGCCTTAAAGGTATCTGTTCTGGTTTGCAGTTCAGAACAGAGACCACAAAGAAACCAGGGACTATTTGCAGGGACTGGAGCCTGAGAAAATTGGATTTAAATGTAAAATTGGGACTTTCAGTCATGACTGGAGTTATCTTTACTTCTTCTGCTGATCAGTTCCTGCAAGATTTGTAGTTTATGTGAGAAAATGCACTTTGTGCAACATGCAGGGGGAAAAAGATCTCAGGCGAGCCATTTTATTGATCTCAAACATACATCACAATTTGACAAGACAGCACAAGCGCCATGTGGTATATTCAGTAGCCAGACAAATCCCTGGGCAGCTCCTCTGAGTTACTGAATCATTACGTCTTGCCCTTACAATTTGTTCCTCCCCCGCCAAAACAGCATCCTGACGGTATACTGCTGCCACGCCACGTTTCCTTGGGTGAACGCAGCCACTCAGCATTGCTGCTTCGCCTGGTGCTGAAAGAAAGAAAAGGAAGAAAACTTCCATCTGGAGATTTTTGTTCATTTCAGGACTGTGCTTTGCCCCAGTCCCTACTTTAAGCCTAAATTCTGAAATAGTCATTCATCCCGCTATTGACAGTGATTTGCATGACACAGTAATATGCATAAGGCAGTAAAAATTACTTCTGAGACATGTCACTTACCTCCATCTACCAGCAGGGAGCTGTCACTTCTTAGAGTAGACATGAGTTCCCGCTCACAGCAATGCAAATTGTTTTAAGAGATTTCTCCCCCCTACCTCCTGAAAAGTTACTCATAGACATCTCCGTAGGTGCCCTTGTGAGCTATTACACACTGGATTGCAGGTTAAGGACGTCTAGGGTGAGAGGAGGCACTGACAACTCCCTGGTGGTGACAGACCTCAAAGGTAACACGATGGAGGATGTACCTGTAACGAGCTTTTTCTTGGCGGGGGCAGCCGCAGGGTTGCTTGTCTCAGAGTCATGGTGTGCAGGTTTTCCTGTTGCGCTACATGTGCCTTTTTGGAGAGACCTAGACATCACACCGTATACAGATGCACCGCAAGGCTGGGTGATTTTAAAGGGAAAGTTGCTCTTTCCCAGGTTGTTAGGGAACATGTGAGCCTCGTGGAGATTTTTTTGGACAGGACAAACAGGCCTGGCTGGCTGGTGCTCGTGGGTCACAGCATCCCCGTGGAGGCAGCACCACGGGAACCATGCACGGCTCTGAGCATTCCCGGTAACAGCCCTGACAGCACACACCGGCCACCTCTGCTGCCTCATGACATTAATTTTTTTCCTGTGGATGGAGAGGGGGAAGGTGGCAGTGGAGGTCCTTTAATTATTTTCTGCAGATCCGGTCACCGCGAGAACAGGCATTTTCAACACTACAAATGACTCTTTCCATGGCAATCACCTCTATTACGCGTCTTGTTCACAGAAACCTCAATTGCAGCACAATTCTTATAGCTCAATTACAGTAAGCTGCGTCTAAGGAGGAAGCAGAGCTGCAGTCAGTCCCACAGAAAAAGAAATCTTGAACTCCAGAGACGAATTCAATTATTCACAAAGAGAACCCTTTCAGAAATGCTGGCGTGCAAGCTATTCCTGCCAGAGGCGAGGATGATTACCCTTGCAGACTGGTGTCCTCTAAACATTGCTTAAAGAAAGCACTACTCCCCAGTGGAGAAGAAGTGGAGACTTTGAAGCAGGATTTTCATTAAACAGGAGACTAACCTTTCAGGTTCACTTGACGCTTAGCACAAATACTCCAACTTTGTCATTGCGTTTTGTTTTCGAGCTTCTTTGAAAACTATGCTAATGACTCTTGCCACCAGGCAACTTTCGGCAAAGTGCCTCCCAGCACCGCTGCCGCGCAAGCAGGGGAGGGAGAGATATCAAGGGAACAGGCAATGGGATCTGCTTTCCAGTTCCCCACCTGGTTATTTCCGGTGACCTTCAGCTTCTTTGCTCTTCTCCTCCCGCTTGTGATGCTTGTGCTGCTTGCAGCACTGTTTCTCCTGGATGGGGGAGGAGAGGAAAGGGGATTTCTCCATGTTTCCTTCTTCCACGCTCACTTTCCCCTCTTTCTCCTCCTCTCTCTCAGCTCCACAGATGCATGCACACACTGGGTTTGACATAACGCAGCCCTGCCTTCAGCTGGGGTGTTTAAGCAGCATGGGCAGATATATGCACTTCCTTTATTACAGCAGTTTCTCCAGCTGGAAGATGATTAAAGATCTGAAGGGACTTTTCATGCCTCCTCCCTCACTGACAGCTTGGAGCAGGGATGAAAATTAAGGGCAGCTCAGCCTCAGCCACAGCCACCTCCCTACTTTGGCGCACACAGTCTGCGCTGCCTCCCGGGCTGCTTGTCCTGCCTTTGCTAGCCCCTTGGCCTTTCCCAGTCCAGCAGAATTAAAGACAACTCCTTCAACAAACATTTCATTTGCCATGATGTCCTGCAGATGTTTTGGGGCCAAATCTAACCAGACGACAGCTCCCTCCCCAATCATGCCTTTTGCTCATCCCACTGGTAAATATCGCTTTCCTCACATCAGAAGTTGGCAACTCGCCTTTGAATTGCCTTGCCTAAGGCTGAGAGCCAAACTGAATGGACGGGCAAGGAGCACAGCCCTTTGGTCCTCACCTCCTGCTATCTATCTGTGGAAAAATCCCTTCATGACCATTTGGTGTTTACAGAGCCCTTCAGATAAGGCAACGGGGCACCTTTTGGGAGAGCACGATGACCCCCAGGGAAGTCTCTTCCAGTGCTGAATTCCTCTGTAGGCACATCTCTGGCTTTCCATTTCTGCGACAAATACCCTGATACAGGTGCAGGG